GGACCTCGAACATGGCATTTTTGGATAAAAACCCCCCCATAATAAAAACACATTTCAGTTTCCTATCCGGGGGGGTGGGGGGGGGGGGGGGGTGGCCCCCCCGTTTAATATTAGGGGGAAGGGGTTAGGGTTTAAGGTTCAGGGTTTTAGGGTTTTGAGTTGAGGGGCGTGGGGCTGGAACATCTTCCGTGCACCGCTCATGGGACTTACTGGATGCTATTTGCAGTTGGAGGTATAGGCGAGCTTCATACCCTAAAACCTAAACCCTAAACCCTAAACCCTTCTAACACGGATCTCGAGAAGCACCCTTATCTAGAGTCTAGAACAAGCTCCCTAAACCCTAAACCGTAAACCCTAAACCCTAAACCCTAACGGTCATCCCCCCGGCGGGTTCCGGCCACAATAAGGTCCCTCGACGCACCGTTCCTGGTATGGCTCTGCGTCCTGACGCTTGCTCTCAGCCCTTTCATCCTGCTCGTACATGTTTTCCATTGAGCCCTTTACCCTAAACCCCAAACCCTAAAACCCTTTAAAAAACAAAAAACTAAACCCAAACCCTAAACCCGAGACCCTAGATCCTAGACGCTACCTCTGGGGCCCTAGGACTAAGGGACGTGGCTCTGAACCCAGCGCGCCCGCGCGATCAAACAGGATATTTGGAGGCAAAGTGGTGGAAGTTTAGGGATAAAGGCGAAAAAACTCTTTCTCGGGTTCCTCGCTGTTCCGAAAGAGGGCACCACTGCGGCTGCTGGGAAAGCGAAGAAAGAGGACCTAAAGACACGGCATACTAGCTCGTCATTTGCCGCTCTGCGCAGGTTAGAGGTCAGGTCTCTCGTGTGAGACTCCTCGCTGAATGCGACGAGGCTCGGCATCTTGCCTCAACCCGAAGCCCTAAAGCCTAAACCCCAAACCCTAAACCCTAAAACCCTGAACCCCACCTAAACAGCACAGCTTCTGGATTCGAAGCGGCTGAAGTGTCACCAGCGAGGGCCTACGGCTTCGCTCTGAATTCTTACTACGACGTCTCGTAGGGACCCGTGGCTTAAGCGACTCGTTGAATTTAGGGCTTAGGGCTTAGGGTTTAAGGTTTAGGGTTTAGGGTTTTGGGTTTTGGGTCCAGGGTTTCAAGGTTCATGGGCTGTTAGAAGTAGGGCTATCCGAACCCCCCAAAATACGCTAGAACCAGTTTAGGTTAGGGTTTAGGGTTTAGGGGTTTAGGGTTTAGGGGTTTAGGGTTTGGGGCCTAGGGTTTAGGGTTTAGGGTCTAGGGCTTAGGGTTCAGCATCTCATGGACTAGCATGAACACCCAACCACCCAGAGAAAGTAAGAAAAAGCACAGCTCACCGGTACCGATTCACCGAAATCGTAAGAATGCCGGTGCCGATTGACCGAAATCGCAAAAAGCTTTTTATGTGTGTATATATATAAATATATGATAGAGAGGGTTAAGGGAATAGGACTTAGGGTTTCGGGCTTAGGGTTCAGGGTTTAGGGTTTGGGCAGTTGCTCACTCAGTCTGTCTTGCCGCGCGGTCTACAGCAGAGGTTCCTGGCGCCAGCTCCCACACGAGACATTCCAAGCGGTTGCTCCGGTCAGTTTCATTTAGGGTTTAGGGTTTAAGGTTTAGGGTTTAGGGTTTAGGGCTTAGGGTTTAGGGTTTAGGGTTTAGGGTTTAGGGTTTAGGGTTTAGGGTTTAGGGTTTAGGGTCGCCTTTCTTCCTCCAGCCAATGGTCCTCCACTTGATCTTGATCGTGCGATTTGCAGTGCTGAGATTCGGCGTGTGCAGAATGACACGGGACATGGAGAGTTGCGGTTGATGATGACGAACCCGTGGGTATTGTCTGTTGTGTTGTTGTTGTTGTTGTTGAAGAAGAAGAAAAAAGAGCCGTCAAACCACAATTTTCCACATGGGAAACGAAATTTGACTTGCTATTTGTTGGGTTGTCCCTGGTCTCAGTTCGACATTTGCCGCATTTGAATTGGCAACGAAAAATCAAGGTTCAGCAACAGTTGTTTGCTGTTGCAACGGATGCGCAACTGTTGTACAATAACGTCCAATGTGATGTCCACATTCCACACTGTCACACACGTGACTTCTTCTGATTCAGTACACTGAGAATTTTGGTGATGCAGTCTTAATCTTATCATGCTGAACGATTTGCTGCACTTTTCGGTGACATTGCACATTCTTTAAAGAGAACAAAAGCGCTGCTATGCGAACGAAAATCAACGCCAAACGGCTACGAACAGATTCAGGGTTTAAGGTTTCGGGTTCAGACCGCAAGCCCAAACCCTACTGAAACCGTAGACACGAAGTAAACCCTGGATTGAGGCTCAGGCCGGGCTTTGGCGTACAGGGTCCGGAGCAACTTCAGCATGCCCTCGTCCTGCATGTCAGTGAGTTTAGGGCTTGGGGTTCAGGGTTCAGGGTCCCTAAACTCTAAGACCAAGCCAGCACTGCACCTCCAAAAACGGGGTAAGGGAGGACAGTCCTGCTAGT